AGGAAGTTTTTTAAATAGCCATGTGAAAGGACATGAATGTCATGCTGATGCTGAGCAGATGGCTGCAACTGGTAGGGCCTCTTGAAAGTTCTGTGATTAAGTTAAGTAGCAGTGAACATCTAAATTGCTTTTTATAAATATGACGTTATAGAAAAACCATGACATAACATTTTTGGAAAGGTGGATGTTGAATTGCAAAAAATTTAAAAACCCAGCTCAGAATCTCAGTTTGTGCAAAGACAGGGATCCCATTTAGTGATTGGCCAGGGTAGAAATGCCTGCATCTTACAAAGCCTTGGGCACATGCATGCTGTACCTGAGAACTGAGGCTCTGGGAAACTTCCTGAGCCATGCAACTAGCCCGTTTGAAACTCCCACCCTGGAGGCTTAGAGGAATCAGACTGTGAAAACAGAATCTAAGAGGTGCTTGCAAAGTTTGTTTTACCTTCAGCAGTTCTGTTAAACCTTTAAGAATGGAATTTTCCTTATAAATCATTTTTCTGGTTGGGAAAGGGTGATGGCTGTCCCGGTTCTGTACAGGACTTTGTTCCTAGTCCCAGATATTTTTCACCTACTGATCCCAGTACTTATATTATCAGTCACTCCCTCTGTTTTGAGTTTGCCTAAGACACTACTCTGCTTTCTTCGATCTAGTCCTTTATGCTGAATTTGTAACGTATTTTCTTATTAACCTCTGACAGATTACAAACACCATAACCTCAACTGCATGATAATAAGCCTATCATTTTCTAGACAGGAGGGCTGTATCTGTAGTGAAAAAGAAGCTGTTTTCCTTGGCAGAATAGTTTTTTTTGGGGTGTTGGTTGTGTCACAGACGTAAGTGGTGGAGAACTTTCAGACGAGATGAAGTGTGCCTGATGTCCACATGGACTTCATATAAAGCTTGTGATGTAATTCCGATTGGCTTTTCTCCTTGCCATCACGGAGACAGACCTTCCCTGGACTCAGTTCTCATGTACAGTCGATTGCATCACTTTCCGTTTTTATTGAGTTTATGGTTATAAAAAAAAAAAGCAGAAGACATAGCTTTATGGAAGAATATGATTTTTTCCCTGTAATAATATCCCCCCTTAGAAAAACATTTGTCTATTATTGTCTGCATAAACTATTCAAGTTTTATCTCATGGTGGTGATAGTCTGAAAGCAATTTAAAGCAACTACCTATTTAATATTTATAGACTGAAATTTCTTTATCATTATCAGTCTATTCTTATTGAATGAAGTGGAGATATGTAGAACCTGTGTGTCCTTTTCTATTAAATACCATTCCATTGATCAATTTCATTAAAATTTCTCTCTCAATACACTAGATTTTTGCTCTGGTATTTTTAGAAGTTAGCTCAAATCAGTTTTTTTTACTATAAACATTATGTTTGCTTAGGCATGTGGAGTTGTACTTTTTTTCCAGCTTTATTTTAAGAAGAATCAGTTTCATATGTGGAATCTCCTATATCCTGGGCTGTCAGCTATAACTGCAAATGGTTTTGGATCTTACCCCCTGAGAAGAGTGCTGATCTTATTGATCACAGCAGATTTAAATTTCTTTTATTAAAGTTTTTGGTGATCTTGTTTCTGATTTCCCCCTCTTTTTAATTTGGGTGGTGGGTGGATGACATCGTTGTTGCAGGTAAAAATGGTCCTACCTCACATCATTAAAATTATGAAGACATATTTCATAGATTACATATCCTGAGTAGTACCACCACCTGATCACACAGATCCAGAATATGTTGACAATCACAGTTTTTTCTCAGTGAAACTTAAAACATACTTTTCTTGCAAGCTTACTTTCTACCCTGCCACTTCCAAAACATTAGATTTGATAAAGTCAGATGAGACCTATTTATCCCCTGACTCAGTCTGAGATCTTCCTGAAAATGGGATTTCCCTTCACTTCACATATTTTTGGTAAAATGAGCAACCTTAACACTTCTGGATATAGAGGTCCCATATCTGTATAAATATCCCACTCTGTTCCAGAGCTTTTCCTAATCTGCTCAACAGTTATTGTCAGCAGCTTGGTTCTTGTTTATGCCTGTTTTAGTTGCTGAAACCAATAAAAAATGCTGAATGAAAAACATTTAAAAAACACATCTTGAAATGTATTTATGAACTATTAAGTTAAAAAGAATCTCAAGAGTCAAAAATAAGGCAGCAGGAAGCTGGGATTATAAGTATTATACTGGTTGTATCTTATTGTTTGCATTTGCTAGACAGGTGAACTTGAGCTTTGATTTTCACAGTCACAGGGGCATTGGAGAAAAAGAGACAGAAGCCTGATTCTGCTTATGATGAAAAGTAAAATAAAAACCTACTACCACTATCACATAAAGCTAGGGTCTCAGACAGCTACAGTTTTAGTGCAATGCTGAACTAAATATAACCTTTCTACTCTTCTTTCCTTCCACCGAGACTGGAGAACTCAGGGAAAATGATCTGTTTTAACCCCTTAAGTCAAGTGACAAGTGAAAAAACTAGCTTTCAGAATTCATAACCATAGCTGGCTATTGCATTGATGTGCAGTATGATGTAATCCCAAAACTTCAAGTACAGATGAAGTTTAGGAGGGTCCTTGGTTGATACTGCCCAGGTTTTGGCAGAGGCAAATGCCTCTGAGGGACTAAATCTTCAGTTTGGACTAGTATTTCTACAGATAAAATTCAAGAAAAACATGAGCATTTTTTTCTTTTTAAGTCACAAATCCTATAAGGAAAGAAATCACTTAAAGAGTTAGACTGTGGAAAGAACAAATTGTAGAAACAGAAGGCGTGAACTTCAGAAGTTGGAGTTTTTTTTTTAAAGATTTATTTATTTATTCATACAGAACTGGGGTACAGGCCAGAGATGTGGAGGGTGAGAGGATTCACCAGACAGAGAGTGGGGTGCAGAACAAGCAGATCAACGAAGTACACTGCTGAGGGGAGCAGCGAGCGGGTCAGGAGAGGTCTGCCACGCCATGTGGTCACCTCCGGGGCAGGCGGGAATCGAACTCATGAGGAGTTGGCTTAAGTTTCTTAGTGCAGTGCTTTAACCCACTGTGCCACCAGGGAGGGCCATAGAAGTTGGAATTTTAATACAACACTATGAAATAATTTTGAGTAATATGTTTTTAGAAATAAAAGTAGGCATTGGAAGCATAAATAGATAATAAACTATGCCATTATCAAACAAATTTAAAGAGAATAAAGTAAAATGTTTGGAACTGGGAAATTATTAAAATGTAAGCTCAGTGACTAGGTTTAATTACAGGGTAGTCATAGCAGAAGAGAGATTTAATAAATTGGAAAACAGGGCAGAAGAAATTAAATAAAAGATAAAAAGATAGAATAAATGAAAGCAACTTATCATGTATATAAAATGAAGAATAAGATCTAACATAAGTATAATTAAGTTTCAGAAGAAAGATGGACTAGGGATTTTATTATTTGGAAGCCATATTTGAAGATATTTTGAAAGGTGAATTTTCCAAAACTAATGACAAGTACCAGTCCAAAAGTTCTGGAAGCTCAGGATAAATAAAAAAGGAATTCTGCCATCTGCATCAAAATAAATCCATAAAATCTCAGAAGGAAAGGAACAGCCTTTAAAAAAGAACATTTGTCGGCCCTCCCTGGTGGCACAGCGGGTTAAAGCACAGCAT